AATCCCAATTATCAAAGCCAGGGCACAGCCTGCTGCCCCAGATCCCATAAAAATCCCAATTATCAAAGCCAGGGCACAGCCTGCTGTCTCAGATCCCAAGAATCCCAATTATTGCAGTGCTGCTTCCCAAGGGGTGGCAGGGAAAGGGAGCAGATCTCACCTGGAAAGGACAAGCTCCATCTCCTTCCCCCAGCATGGATGTGCCAAGGTTTTCCCATCCCAGGCAGGACTGGATCGTGCCTGGGACATGGGGACACCAACCCAGAGCTGCCTGAACAGCCCCAAACCCCAGTGAGGGGGAGAGCCCCAGCTCTGTGGGGTGGGGAGGCTGCTGGGATCAGGGAATGCTGGGATCAAGAAGATTATCAGGAAAAGGAGCTGCTGGGATCCGGAGCTGCTGGAATGAAGGATTTTTGGGATAAGGAACTACTGGGATCAGGATCAAGGACTGTTGGTATAAGGAGCTGCTGGGATCAGGGATTTTCATGATCCTGCTCCTGTTGAGAGCAGGGATTACCATGATCCCATTCCTGCTGGGATCAGAGAATGTTGGGATCCCATTCCTGCTGGGATCTGGGAGTATTGGGATCTAGAACTGCCAGGATCCCATTCATGCTGGGATTAGGTATTGCCATGATACCATTCCCACTGGATTAGGAATTGTTGGGATCAGGGATTGCCAGGATCCCATTTCCACTGGGATCACGGATTGCCAGGGTAAGGAGCTACTGGGATCCCATTCCTGCTGGAATCAGGGACTGCCAGGATCCCATTCCCACTGGGATCAGGGACTGCTGGGATTAGAGAATATTGGGATCAGGGATTACCAGGATCACATTCCTGCTGGGATCCCATTCCTGCTAGGATCAGAGATTGCCATGATCCCATTCCTGCTGGGATCATGGACTGTTGGGATCTGGGAATATTGGGATCCCATTCCTGCTGGGATCAGGGATTGCCATGATCCCATTCCCACTGGGATCAGGGATTGCCAGGACAAGGAGCTACTGGGATCCCATTCCTGCTGGAATCAGGGATTGTTGGGATCAGGAATTGCTGGGATCCCATTCCCAGTGGGATCAGGGACTGCTGGGATCAGTGATTGCCATGATCCCATTCCTGCTGGAATAATGGACTGCCCTGATCCCATTCCCACTGGGATCAGGGATTGCTGGGATCCCATTCCCGCTGGGATCAGGGATTGCTGGGCTCAGTGACTGCCATGATCCCATTCCCGCTGGGATCAGGGAATATTTGGATCAGTGACTGCCATGATCCCATTCCCGCTGGGATCAGGGAATATTTGGATCAGTGACTGCCATGATCCCATTCCCACTGGCTCAGGACTGCCCTGATCCCCCTGCCCCAGTCCCAGCTGCCACCTGCCCTATGTGGGCAATGCTGCCCCAGCCCAGCCCAGCCCTGGCAGCAGCGTGGTTGCAATAGTTCCCCATCCCAGATTTCCCTGCTCAGCTTCCCAGCTCTTCCCTGGGACAGCTGCTCCACTCCCAAACCCCCATTCCCAGCACCTGCTGCACTGGGAGCACTGGAATTCGCCAGAGCTCAGGGAACGAGAACAAAGAAAAGGAAAAATAAAACAGAGAAAGTGGGAGCTGCTGAAGGAGAAAAAAA